CTGTAAAAGAAGTAGAATATGATTTATAACAACATTTTCAGTTCTAAACATTTCTTGAATATATAATATATTTATTAAAACATGATCCTAAAAATGTGTTTGCCTGGGTACTTTCAAGGTAATTTTCTAGCCAACCATTTTTTTTTTTTCAGGTCCTTTGGAACAAAGATGGCTTGTTGTGTTTTTGTCATACTTTCAGTCCCATTTCTGCCACGATTCTTGGGCATCTTTTATGTCACCAACAGTGTTACTGAACTTTTTTGCTAAAAGGGGACCTTCCTGGTGTTTGCATTAGAAATGCTAATTGTAGAATAATAGTCATTGTAAAAATAATATTATAACAATGATAGCTAATGTTTGTTGAGACTTTAATATGAATGTCAGGCACTATCATAAGTACCTGACTAATTTCACTCATTAACCTGCACTGCAACCCTAAGAGTGATATTGCAAACTATCTTCATTTTCCGGATAAGAAACCAGAACCCTACATGAGTAGTTTTCCCCTGCAATTATGCAACTTGGGGCCCTGGGGACACTGAAACCCAGAGATGATTAATAACAAATCCAAGGTCACATAGCTAGTAACATGGGAAGCTAAAGTTTGAACCCAGGCAGTCTGGTTCTAGAACTGATGCTCCTATTATATTATTATTTATGAATATGCTTGGGATGTTGTGACTCCTTCCTGTGCTGTATGGGCTGTACCAAGCGAACCTAGATCCTGCTGTCTTGACTTTTTCTGTCAAAATATCTGTAAAGAACAAATATGAGCAGAAGTAGTAAACTGGATTTCATTTTCTGCAAAGAGCTGCATATTGGTTATAGGCAGATTATGTTAATGGGATAGGTATCTAAAAGGTATTGCAATTTGGTTCTTAATTCTTTCTTCTGTCTCAGTTGCTCACACAGCTTTACACCTGATCATTTTTACTCCTTCAGTCTTTTCCCAGTTGCTTCCTATAAACATCCAGGTTAAGTCTCCTGCTCACTTTGCAAATGATTCTTTTATTCAGAGATCTTCAGTGTTTTGAGTGGCTAAACTAATTTGAATAATTTTCAGAATGGCCTATTTCAGTTCTCCTATGGGTTTCATTCTAGTTAATCACCATACTCCAGATACTTCAAAAGAAAGAGAAACTAATCAATCTGAGCTTTGCTAAGAAAGAAGAAATGGCAACAAAGTTGATGCCCTCTTTCTCCTACACTGGGACTTAGTGCAGACAGTTCCAGTTTCTTGGCATTCTTTCCTTTGGGATGAAAATGGCTTATATTTAGGACAACTATAGGATAATCTTATTCCACCTGGAATGATTTTGAGTGAAAATAACTACATAAGGATGACAGCTGTGCACCATGACTGTCCTGGGCAAACAGTATATAGGGGGCACACTCTACTGGAGTAAGGCTCAGGTCTCAAGGTTGCCATCTTTCCCACACCAGTAGGATCAAGTAGTCTGTCATTGGAATAGAATGAATTGATGCCAGCAGTAGCAGTCATCATGTGCAATCAGGCCTCAGGTTTTATTGTGTCCTTTCACTCTCTCTCATTCTCCCCTCCCCATGCCTTTCCCTCAGACTTGGGGGATGGAAAAAAAGGGAGCTTATATTTTATTGTCAATTTTCCAATCCCAGTCAGAGGAGCGAAGCTAATTAAGCCAGTAACAATGTTTATGAATGTATCTTTTTTAAAAGGAAGATAACAATATATAGGAAAATTCCCACATGTAGGCTAATAGCAGCTTTTTCTTTTTCCTCCCATCCTCTTATGATTGTGTAAACAAACAGAAGTTAACACCCTACGCAAGTGTGTTGTGGAGTATAGGATTAAGTACCAAATTGCGGAACATATCACGAGTATTTTGGATTTGCTGAGTGCTGCCTTCCCATTAAAGCTGTGTTCAGCGGGGAAGCAAGGTGGCTCAAGCCTGTAATCCCAGCACTTTGGGAGGCCGAGGTGGGCGGATCACTTGAGGTCAAAAGTTCGAGACCAGCCTGGCCAATATGGCAAAACCCCGTGTCTACTAAAAACAAAAACAAAAAAACTAAGTGTTCAGTGAGATTGCAGCCTATGCAACAACAATAGTAATGCCAATTATTTTAGAGAAAAGTAAATGAGAGGCTACCAGTTGGGTTTAGAGGAGGTTAACGTTTTATTTTAGACAAAATTCACAGGAAATCACAGTGGGAATGTGATAAGGGGTTTGAATGATTGATGGGGACAGGAATAATTCATTTGAGAGACTAGAGTTGAGCCAGTATTCTAGATAGTGAAGTAAAATAGTAATGTAGTGATTTAGCATGGGTTATCCTTAAATCCCAGTGTCTTAACATAAGTGTATTTTTTATTCATACTGCATGTCTATGGAGGGTTCACAAGGAATGCTCATAGACATACAAGGAATCCAGGCTGAGCGTGGCACCATCAACCCATATTTCCATGAACATAGTGTTGTTGGGGAATTGCAACATGGTAAATTACACATAGGAACAACAACAAAAAAAACAACCAAGGTTAAATTTTTTTTTGACTGCCCCACAAAATGTATGAATTGAACTTGCCATGCATCACTAATAATTTTCAAATTGACCTTTAGGTTTATATTAGCAGCTAATTTTTTGTGGTACACTTAAATGTAATTTATGATTGGCTTCTGTATATAATTAAATGAAAAGCATTGCAAATACTTTTATTTTGGTATTTCTCATGATCCTCAAGTTTTTTTTTTTTAGGTGAATCTATTAGCTTTTCTAAAGATAACTATTACTATTATTTATTTATTTTTACAAAATATTGGCATTTTAATCTCTCTATAACTGGAGGGTGAATTCTTTTTCAAAAGAGTAAAACAGATCCACAATCCCTTATCTAAATTCCTAGTTTCAAAAATCTCTGAAAACAAAGTTTTTTCATAACTCAATTTGGCAACAAACTCTACCTGAATTATATGAGGCTATTTGTGGTATTTATCCCACTTTAATGTGAATATGAATATATTTTGCCATAGATATATCAATATATTTGAATATAAACTGCTTCCTCAGACCCTCTGAATGTTTTACATAATGTAAAGTATATGCCCATATTTCCTTTCAAAAATCTGAGAAATTCTGAATATCAAACACATCTGTCCCAAAAGGTTTCAGAAAAGGGACTATGGACCTATATTTCCATTCTCTTAACAAGTTCAGAAAGTGATATTATGATCCAAATTTAATATACATAATTTCCAAAACAAAAATTTTCAGGTCCTTAGTTTTCTAAATTATTTTAATATTTAAAATATTCATTATTCATTTTAACCTTGAGTAACAACGGGAAATACTTTGAAATGCTTGATTTTATCATACCACTAGGTGGCATCTTTGTAAAGTAAAAGCACATCAAAAGAAATGTTTATCACATAAATAAATGCTGAGATGAATAAAGGTAGATGTGACATGAGAAATACAAAGTCATTTGGTGGAATAAATCCTGAGAACATGCATAGATTTATCATGAAAAGGAAAATGGAAAATGGTATTGTAAAATTACTCTTTCACTTTGGGAATTGAGAAGCTTTTTTCTATTGGTTGTTTTCATTCAGTTTGAATATACATTTATTATGTAACCAAACTACATTTGTGTGTATGTGTGTGTTTGTGTGCGTAGATAGGATTTTGACATACTAATAACCTTTCCGTGCTCCACAGACTACCCAAGGAAGCCTAACTGTTAAGTTAGGTTCCTATTTAAGATTAAATTGTATAAAGTCATCCTCACAGCAAATTACAAAAAAATATGAATAGTGGATATCAAGTCACATTTAACACTGCGAAACCCTTAAGTTCTCTCCTACCAGCTTTTCTTCTCCCATCTCCTGACTCTATTCCTAAACCTACTGTTTGCATACTGTCTCTAACATTGAGAACAGTGAATGATAAATTTTAAAGAGGAGACCCAGAAAAGTGAATGTTTAAAGCCAGCGGAATTTTTATTAGTAGCAGAATGTAAGATAAATTATGATTTTGGAGATGGGAGTGTATGAGTGTTTGTAAAATCTTATCTGCGCACCTCCACACCTGGTCTACCCATCCAAGAAAGCCTAATTCTAGTGGTTACCTCTATGCCCATTTTTCCCCTTTACTTTTCATGAATGTGTGGAAATGATTAAAATGCATTTCCTTTTACTGATCATTATTAAAGCCAGTTTTATCTGAGAATATATATTTCACTATTCTAGTAAAATATATTTTAAAATGAGATGACTAAAAAAAATGGCATTGAACATTACAAAGTTATTGGGGAGATGAGAGTGCAATTTCAGCAGAACAGTATAAAGAAATAAATGAAGACAACATTTATGAATAAGGGAATGAACCTGTACTAATTTTATTAATCCTTTTAAAACATCAAATCAAATTAAACAGTACCGTAATAGTGATTAAAAATCTGGGACCTGGAGTTAGATTGCTTGGGTTTAATCCTAGTTCCTTCATTAAACTTTGTGTGCCTTAGTTTTCTCATTTACAAAATGGATCTAATAGCAGTTTCTGCCTAATAAAATCGTTGTAAGGATTAAATTAGAAATCTGTGTACGATGCCTCATGACAATTAATACTTCATAAATGTTAGCTGCTATTACGAGATAGTAATATATAGTTTGTTACTAAATTTCCAAGAAGAACATACTTGACCTGGCCTCCAGTACCGTCCTGTGCTTCTTTAAAAGTTTTCTTATTTATTGATAGGCCGGGCACGGTGGCTCACATTGCTTGGGGCTAGGAGTTCCAGATCAGCCAGGCCAACATGGTGAAACCCCACCTCTACTAAAAATACCAAAATTAGCTGGGCTTGGTGGCGGGCGCCTGTAATCTCAGCTACTCAGGAGGCTGAGGCAGGAGAATCGCTGGAGCCCGGGAGGCGGAGGTTGCAGTGAGCCGAGATCGAACCACTGCACTTCAGCCTGGGCGACAGAGCAAGACTCTGTATACACTTAAAAAAAGGGGAAGAAAAAGAATTCATTGATAGACAAAATTTAGTTTATTAACTAATTTAGTGATTAACAAAAGTTCTGCTTCTCTTATAAGGAGAATTATTTGATAGCTACTGTCTCCCATTTCTCTTTGGCTGCCAGGAAGCTGAGGCAAGTTGTTAATTTAAGAAAACCAAGTAGGCATCTGACAGTTTCCCGCCTCTGACTTCAAACTGATGATTTCTCTGACTCTGATTTTTTATATCTGTAAGATTAAATTGCTGTTAGTGTTTGGTTCAGAGAGCTGTGCCCTTTCACAAGTATAAAAGATCTTGGATGTCCTGATTCACTTTTGGATCTAGGTAACCACTTGGTAACAGCCTCCCCCTCTGGCTCCTCCCCTTCTCCCTGCCGCGTCCCTCCTTCCCTCCCCCTCGCCTCTGGCCCCGCCCCTTCTCCCTGCCGCTTCCCTCCTCCCCGCCCCCTCGCCTCTGGCTCCTCCCCCTTTTCCCTGTCGCGTACCTCGTGTGCAGCCCCCGACCCTCTCCTCTGGCTCCTCCTCTTCTTCCCTACCGCGATCCTCTTTCGGGACCCCGGACCCCAGCCCACCTCTGGCTCCTTCCCGTCTTTCCTGCCGCGCTCCACCTTCCCAACACCGCCCCTCCGCCTCTAGCTCCTCCCGTTCTCTCCTGCTGCACTTCTTCACGACACCGCCTTCCGGCCTCTGGCTCCTCCCCTTCTCTTCTGCGGCGCTCCTCCTTTCCGACCCCCCCCCGCGTTTGGCTCCTCCCCCAGGCCTGCCGCGCTCCTCCTTCCCGGCTCCGCCCCCTGCCCGCCTCTGGCTCCTACCCCATTCCGCCTCTTGCTCCTCCCCTTCCCCCCTGTCCGGCCCTGGCAGGAAGAGGTGGTGCCAGGGTCGTTGCTAGGATACGACCAGTAACTGAGAATGCGGCGAGTATTGAAGCTGCTTCTTAGGAGCCTGGGAAAGCACTTCGACGAGAATAGTTGCGTTTCGCACACAGGTAGGAGGACAAGTTTTGACTGCGGCTTCCTGGCCCGACGCTTAGACCCAGCCTAGAGCCGGTAACAGTCGCGCTGAAGTCTGAGTTCTGTGTGCGGGGCAGTGATTCCCGCCTGAGCTCCTGGGGCTGCCTGGTCGGTAGGGAATGTTCCACCTTTACTTAAAAAACCGTGCGAAGTATTCCATCTTTCTGGGCTCCTTTTCTGGCTCCTTCGCTCTGGTTTGGGACTTGAATCAGCAGCATCAAGCTAGGAGGTACACCTCACCTCACACCCCGAGTGCTTTTCACGGTAATTGCATAGAAGAAGTGTGTATAACACAAACCTGGCAGTAGAAACTCTTAGCCTTCCGTGGCAACCATTCTCTTATTAAGTCGAGGGATTTTAGACTTTCCTCACCTGGCACTCTCACTCCTTCCTCTCCACCCGTGGTCTTTGCCTCTTAACAAGCTTAAAAATTCAACAGACCTATTTGGTAGAAAGCAATACTGGATCCTTGCCTTACTAATTATACTACATTCTAAATGTATTAAGCTTTAAATGATAAGGAATGAAATGTAGGTGAAAAGGGAGACTTTTTTGTATGCAAACATGATAGAGGTTGCTCTTTTAAACAATAAGATTAAAACATTTACATTCGAATAGATAATACATAAAAAATAGTACGAATAGTAAAAAGAATGAAGAGTGAAAATCCACCATCTACCCATTTCTCCCCATCTCCAGGCCACCTTCCAGAGGTGCTTTAGACATATGCAAATAGGTAGGTACACCTGTAACATTGTGCGTACTATTCTGTGATTGGCTTTTACACTTAAGACTGTGTGTCCAATTGTTTTCTATCAGTATTTACAGATCTGTCTCATGTATTTATGGATGAATTTATGTATTTATGTTTCATTGTGAGAAGGTGTTTTGAAGCATATCAGGAAATTTGGAAACTCTCATAAGCAAAAAGATTGATAAATGTCACTACCTAGCAATCTAAAACTATTGTATAGTAAGAGAAAACAAACAACATCAAACATACAATGGGAAATATAAGTGCAACACACAACAAAGGGATATTTAATTATTAGGACTCATAAAACAATCTGAGGATGTAAGGAAACAGGTAAGGGGAACTTCTCGTGGCTGTAAAAGAAAACAGTGTTGGAATTTAACAAAATTAAGATCTGTATGCCCTTTTACTTGTCCCTTCTAATTCTAGGAACTCATTTTCAGTATACTTACACATATATACAGAGATAGATGTATAAGATGTTTGTTGCAGCGCAATTTCTAATAGTAAAAAGCTAGAGACAGCTTAAATGTGCATCAGTGAGCAACAGTTGACTACAATGTGGCTTAGCCTTGCAAACAAATTACTGAGAAGTTGTTGAAAAGAATGTGGCAGAATCGTATTTTACGTAAAAATAAATGTTAAGCACATATTATAAATATAAGTCGTAAAACAGTGTTAAAGTTTAAAAATAAACAGAAATATAGTTTATAAAAGACATCGATATGATCATAAACAAATTTAAATGTATATGTATTATATAATTGTAGCTTTGTAGACAATTCCTGGAAAGATAAACTGCCTAACAATGAGAAAATTAGCATGTCTGGAATACTTTTACTTCTTATTTTATCCCCTTCTGTTCTGTTAGATTTTTTTTCTAGTAAGCACATATTACTCTCTTAAAAACAGCCAAATGAACAATAACAATAATAAAAAAACAATTTTGAAAAGTCTTTTCCAACTGTAGCTTTCCAAACTGGGTTGAAATTTCACATTTTACATTTCACACCTTAATATGTGTGTTTTGTTATTTACGTTTAATATTTGCTGCAGTGAGAGTTTACACATATTTATGTATGCAAGTAGAGCATATTAATATATACATATGAGGGGGTATTAGGAACCAATAAAATTAGCTCCTTGTTCTAGATGGGTGAAAAAAAATCTGAATATTTTCTACTCTATTTTAAATAATAGTCATGTTTCTTACTTAAGAATAAAAGACAGTCTCTGATAATGTATCTGATGACAAAATTGTTAGTTAAATTCTGGATCTGACCACCACTAACCTACCATGAGGCATTCCTGGGCCTTAGCTTTTTCATCTGCAGGGAGATCAATTTCTAGACTTTTTCTTAATCACCAGGACCCCTTTTCTGTTCTCTCCCCAACCTCCCATGGACTCCTATACTGAGATACAGCACAGTTTAGTGGTTAAAGGCATGGGTTCTGGATCCAGACTGCCTGGATTTGGATCCCAGATATACCGCTTACTAGCTCTGTGTTCTTGAAAATATTACTTAACCTCTCTGTGCTAATTTCTTTATCTGTAAAATGGGCATAATAATATCATCTGTGAGAAATAATTTAGTGTATTTGCTAATATGCTTTATTTTTAAAGTATTTTTTCTCCTACTTTATAAAATGAGTAATTATGTAATACCTAGGAGACATTATTAAGGTATAATTATCACTAGCCATTTGGAAATTTTAGAAATAGTTCATTACTAATTAGCCAACATTTATTATGTGCTTATTGTGTGCCAGGCACTGTTTACTAAGTACTGTATATGCACAATTTTATTTAATTCTTGGAAGAACCTTTGATGTTGAAACTACTAATATACCATTTCACAAGTGAGGAAAACAAGACTTAGGTTAAGACACATCTGTATCTCAAAGTCATATAGCTAGTAAGTATCAGGAACTCTGAGGGGTCTGGTGTTTTACCCTACATACTAACTAATAAGTTAGTCACTGTTTCTTGGATGCTGGGTCAAAGGGCACATAGCAAAAGAAGTAGCCAGTGCTTCAAGTTTGTGCCAATTTCCCAAGCCCCCCAAGTCCAACAGGGGAAACACAAGTGAGTCTACATGGATGCCTGCACATGGGGAATTTACTGCTTTTATAGTAAACCAAAGAAAGCCTGCTCTTTGTTTCAGGGGGAAGAGTTTATCTCAACCTTTGCAGTTTCTCAGTGCAAACACAACCCTGAGAAATGGTCTGGGTAAACAGTGGTCATGGCCTTGCATTTTTGTCACACCCCACAAGAACATGTAGGGACACTCAAGACCCATGGCCGATTGCTTCTTTCTACAGGAAGCTGTTAAGTCTGGATTCAAACTCAGGTGGACTGGCTCCACAGTCAGCCCTCCTGAAATTCCACTTTAGGAAATCAAAGCTGAGAATCACTGTACTGCATGGCAATGAAGTCATGACTTAGAAACCTTGACACTTCTTGTTTTTAGGTTGAGTAAATGCTTGTCACTGCTAACCATCATAAACACAGTTGCTAATCACCCTCTTTATCAACAACTAACATCTTGAAAACATGTAATTATTTGGGTCATTTATTCATATCATTAATTAAGGACCTTATATGAACCTTAGGCACTACTATACATACAATCTACAGGTAACAGAACTATGATCTGTGTGTGTGTGTGTGTGTGTGTGTTTGTGTGTGTTTATTTAGACAGGGTCTTACTCCATGTCTCTGGCTGGAGGGCAGTGGTGACATCTTGGCTCACTATAATCTCCACCTCCCTGGCTGAAGCGATCCTCCCACCTCAGCCTCCCGAATAATTAGAATTACACGTGCATGCCACAATACAATGCCCAGTTAAGCTTTGTAATTTTTGTAGAGACAGGGTCTCACTATGTTGCCCAGGCTAGTATTGAATTTCTAGGCTCAAGGGATCTGACCACCTCGGCCTCCCAAAGTGCTGGGATTACAGGTGTGAGTTACTGTGCCCAGCCCTCATCTTGTTTATAAGGAGATAGATTGCTTCGAGGGGAACAATCTAGGACACCTAATGTACTAAAATTAGGGTGAAATGAATATAAGCATTAGGAACCATAGCAACTAGGAAATGGAGACAGACACATTGAGGAGGAAGGTGGAGGGGTATGAATTTATCCAGTACCTGTCAAAGGAACTTTATAGTATATGGCTTCTGTTTCTGACTGCATTGATTGCACATGTCTCATGGCTTTAAATACCATAGACTTCTGACTCTCCAATTTCCAGGCCAGCATCTTCTCAGAACTTCAAACTGCTAACCCTGTGTGCAATGGGCATCTCAAACTCACATGGCCCAAATCATACTGATCTAACTTACATGCATACTCAGGTCTCCTTTATTTGAAGTTTTCCTTATTTCTGTAAATGTAGCTTTATCCTTCTGGTTACTCGGGCTAAAAATGTTAGCAGTATCCTTGATTCCTCTCTTTATCTCATAGCTCACATCTAATTCATCGCTAAATCCTTTCAGCTCTATTTTAACGCCTGTAATCTCAGCACTTTGGGAGGCCGAGACGGGCGGATCACAAGGTCAGGAGATCGAGACCATCCTGGCTAACATGTTGAAACCTCGTCTCTACTAAAAAAATACAAAAAACTAGCCAGGTGAGGTGGCGGGCGCCTGTAGTCCCAGCTACTCGGGAAGCTGAGGCAGGAGAATGGCCTGAACTCGGGAGGCGGAGCTTGCAGTGAGCTGAGATCTGGCCACTGCACTCCAGCCTGGGCGACAGCGAGACTCCATCTCAAAGAAAAAAATATGTATGTGTGTATATATATATATATCCAGAATCCAGTCAGCACTTCTCACCATCTCCTTTACTGTCACCCAGGTC